ATGATTGACCAGACCATACTCTTGAATCTTGAAACAGTGTTTCTGCGTTATAGGTCAGGAAGGGTGGGACAGATACCAAAGACTTCACATAAAGGAAGGAGGCCTATGAAAGAAAATCAGCCCTCCTGTTTGCCACACACAGTCTAGCCATTAGGTGGAAGAGACAAAGCTACACTCTTTTCTTGCCACAGGTGTAAATCTTTGGGTGACTTCTGAGCCAAGGAGGAGAGAAGCAGTCTCTACAGCAGCTTTACTTGCCCTTTCCTTCTCCTATTCCCTTCCCTCGGGAGCCCTGTGGCTGCCTGTCCACTCAGTTATCTTATCAAATTCTTTCCCCTGCTGAGATGGGAGGGATAAGGGCATTTCTTTATCATAAGAAAGAAATAAAAGTAACATATTTATTATGAGTTACATTTTAAACTAGGCAGCTCTGTGTTTTTAAGTAATTGGATTTTTTAAAATTAATGATGGCACATGCAATTTGCAATAATAAAGAAAGGCTGCTGTGTAAGGGTCACAGCCTTGGTACCCATGGCTGCATTGCTCCAGAGATGCACTGGTGAGACCTTACCTGGAGTACTACATCCAGTTTTGGGCCTCACATGTCAAGAAGGACAAAGGCAGTTTGGAAAGCGTCCAGCAGAGAGCAATGGAATGATTAGGGGCTTGGGACGCAAGACTTATGAGGAAAGGCTGAAAGAACTAGGGTTATTTAGTCTGAAGAAGATGAGACCGAGGGTGGATTTGATAACAGACTTCAAATACCTGAAAGGAGATTTTAGAGAGAATGGAGATAGGCTTTTCTCTTTGGCCATGGGAGACAAGATTAGCAATGGCCTCAAGCTTCAGCAGGGGAAATTTAGGTTGGACATTAGGAGGAACTTTCTGATTATGGGAGTGGTCAAAGCATTGGAGAAGGCTACTTAGAGTACCTGTGCAATCTCCATCCTTGGAAGTTTTCAAGAACATGCTACACAAACTTGGCTGAGATGGTTTAGTCAGGGATAATCCTGCCTTGAGCAGGGGGTGGGACCTAAATGACATTATGAGGTCCTTTTCAGCCCTACCTTCCTATGATCTTATGATTCTATGCAAAACATCTGGAAATTCAATGCCTCTAGTACAACTGGAAAGTTATTTTTGTTTTACACAAAATCACAATATTAGATTGTGATGTACAGTTCTTTGAGAGTGGGTGCAAGGAAAATGTTATTTCATTGCTTCTCTATTACTGACTTTTTCTGATAGCGTCCAAAATATTTTCAGTAAAACCTCTAGGGAATTTTTCCTACCTTTTTTACAACAATTCTCAAAGATTTCCAATCAGTACTACAGAAAGCCTCAGTTCTTTGTTTATGTTTATGAATAATGATTTGATGACTGGCACTTGCATGTTATCATTTTTGCTTAGCAATCTTCGTGGTTAAAATATATTAAAATTATTAACTTAAAAATACAGCTTGATCATCTGGAAAAACTGCTGGTCAATATTCAAGACAAGCTATGGAGCAGTTATTCTTTGTGGGTCTCGAAGGTCATGGAAGTGATGGTTTTATGCCACTGAATGATTTGCTCTTCACAATACATTGACAAAACAACACAATTAGTCTTGCTTCAATAAGCACACACAATAAAATGAATTAAACAATACAACATGTCTCATACATGACAGCTTTACTTTTGTAAACACAAAAGCTGCCTTACTAAGGGCATATCATTTCCCTGTCTGTTTTAAATGATCAGCTTTGTATCCTTGTAATTAATTTTAGCAACTCTGCTGTCTTTGGATATAAATGTTTTAATGTGATGACTGACCAGGCTTTAAACTAATATTTAAATATTTCACATGCTGGAGTTAGAATACTTTGGAGCACAATAATGCAGGAAAAAGTGTAACCAATAAATAGCTAGTTTATGAGAGTAAGCAGTCATTAAAAATCATAACTAATCAATCTTTTTTGACCAAAGGGGGCCAAAGGTCTTCAAAGGCTTCTGTTCATAGCATGCCCCTGAATTACTTAGGTCTGTAACCTTTGAACTTTACTGCTCTACCTATTTAGTTTATATCCTTTTATGATTGTTCATTACATTAAGTTAGCACTGGCTTTCCACACTGAACTGTGCACACACTTGTGATACTTGAGCAAGGAATGGTTCTCACTGTGTCAGTGGGTTCCCAGTGTGTGCATATTGTTTGCTATGTTGCAGATGTAGTGGACACAAGTGACAGATGAATGAAACTTTCCACTCTTAGAGACAAAATGAAATATTGATCACTTATCATAAGAAACAAAGAGCCTGGCATAAGTAGGTCTCACATTAAGAATACAAAATCAGTTACTTATCTTAGGTTGCTCTAATAATACAATATGCACATAGTTTAAGATGAATGTACATCTAAAATGTGTCCTTTTTGTTTTGTGAGAGAAAAGGATTTTTGTTGGCAATATCTTTTATTGGACCAATTGCTTGGTTGGGATAAAATTAGACAAGCTTTCACCTGATGAAGAATGCCTGGCATTCAAAAAATGATCTAACTTTGTCCTAACCATGCAGTTGACCCAATAAAAGATACCACCCATTAAAAAAAACCTTACTTCTTGCATAACACCTGGACCATCAAAGCTACATCACACTTTTTGTTTTGAACATTACATACAAAAATGAAAACATGAGTAATTTCAAATGAGTTCCTCCTGTTGATTCATTTACTACATTAACATTCTATTATAATATTAAAATGTGTCCTGTGCGTCTCACATGGAAGAAATCTAGTTTTTCATGTAACATCTAATAGACAGATGACATGCTATATCAGACTATATAACATGAAAGATTAAGAAAAATATGTTACATCTTCTTTGAAAAGACAACAGTCACTCCAGATTAATAAACAAAATCTAGGGGAACTGAGTTGTAATGTAGAGCAAATACAACATATAAAATTGGTTAAGTCTATTAAATGATAATGTTGCTTATTAACCAAATATGTTGTGATAGGTCAATGCTGAGGTTAAACAGAAAACATCAATTGAACTATTTCCCTAAATAAAGCTCCAGGGTGCAATATTTAGAGCACTTTATTCAATAAAAAATGCTTTTAAAATGGTACTTTGGTGATTGGGAAACATTGGCATCATCCGTCAACCTAACTGCAGGAAAGTTCAATAAGCTAAATAATGAACCATTTACATTATTTTCCTTAGGCTCCAGTGATTTGCAAACATTGCATCAATAGAGCTCTTTAAAAAATTATGATAAAGACCTGCTAGTCTTTCACTCTCAGCCTTTTTGTTGTCATGTTGAAATGTTTATGTTATTTAAGTGTTTTTGGAGCTTCATCTTTTTGTAAGATATTTTATTTAATATCAATATTCCATCATATTAAAACAAATGTGTTTGATACAATCATTTTACTGGATTTTCAAAGACAAATTATTTTTCAAAGATAAAACAGACACTTAAAGCTAGATTTTCAAAGGATGTCTGGCTGAGTGGTTTAGCTCCATTAGTTTCTAGTTGAAACACAAATTTGGGTGAACAAAATGTTCTTCGGAGAAAGGCTTCTCTGCCCCCCCCCCAAATCAAATCAGTCTATAATAGATTCTCTTCTTCTGATTATCTTTTTCCAGTTTATCCCTTCTTTTGATCATCCCCCTACAGCTGCCTTTTAACTTTTCAGGACCTACCAACCTGACCTTCCTATTTGTTTCACAAACCAAGCACTTTCCTGCTATCAGGGTTTTTTTTATACTTTCCTTTTTCAGTTGATATGGATATATCTTTTTTCTTCCAGAGCAAAGTATTCAGGCTCCACACACAACTTGCAGGGGGCAGAGGTAGGGGGAGGGCAAGCCTAGTGTGAGACATGGGGAATTGATTTTTCCTACCTGGGTTTCTAGTAGTCTGATTTAAGGCTCTCTTTAGTTTCTGGGTCAAAGGAACATTAGTGCTTAGTCATTTATTCCTCATTTGTATTTCTTACCTAAAAATCTCCTCCTTCTCTTTTTAATGATCTCTACTTCAGTTTTGATGTTATTTTTCTTCATTTTGAGTTAGTTTATTTAGTTCAGAATACCAATCAACAATCAATAGGCAACTGTGATAACCCAAATTGTGGTTACAATAAATTACAACTATTACTTGCTTATATTAACAGTTTCCGCATGACCATATTCATGCAGCTCACACATATGACATTAAAATATATACAACTGCTTATATACTACCAATATCGGGAACATTAATTCCAAAACATAATGTCTGAAATCCTACCTTGATTACCGATGATTGTCCTAGGCTGCCATTTTTACTGTTGGGGAGACTAAGTTAGTTATCTATATGGGTTCACTTTAGAATAACCTAGTCCCTATGGAGTATGTTTATAGCAAATTAAATGCTCACAAGATCTGCTATTTTGGTGCTATATGAAGATAGATGACAACAAATATCATGGGTCTAAATTTCTAGAAAATGTTTTCTATAGTTTGTTTCTATTTTGATAAGGCCTGTAGTATGAAAACTAGGATTTTGGTGATATTGTGTACGAACCTGGTGAGTTTGGTATTCCTGGTTTACATAATAGGTGGTATCATCCAACCATTTGCAGAAGGTGAAAGCTGAATGTGTTTCACTGACAACCTCTATTTGTATCTCCTCCTGAATATATTTGGTGAAAACCAACTTGCGTACCTAACTACAGACTTTTATATGTGCAATATTTTCATATCTAACAAATCAATGTTGATCCAAGTTACTGACACACTGGGCTTGTCGGTCAGAGTATGCCTGAATACACCCTAAAATATCAGATCTTTACTCCATTCACTTCAAATATAAATGCATTTTCTTCATACATGTGTAGTAACCATTTCCCCCCCTCAAACTGAGATAAGAGGATGAAAAGAGTTACCCAAATTTGGCTCTCTTTTTAAACGTTATTTTTTAAAACTCATCATATCTTACAAAATAACATTTTTTTAAAAACAAGGCACACTAACCTCATCAGGGCTGGAAGCCTGGTATGTACGATTTTCATCACTGAAGTCCTGATCCACTTCTGCATATTCTGTTTCTGCAGTCACTCCAGTGCGGGATTCATACACGGGAGTTACGTTGTGACACAGTGCAATAGCTTTCACAGCTTCATGTATCCGACTGCTGACACTCTTGCGGACTTTGGGTGCAGAAGACTGGGTTTTTCTGGAAGGTGTTGAACTGGTACTGTTTCCACTGGACTGGGAATGCATCTTTAAAATATAGAGATCAAACACTCAAGGCAATAAATAATGAATAAATCCACTAAAAGAAATATAAAACATATGAACAGTAATGTATACATGAAAAGTTACCTTGAAAAAGACTGCCTAAGTACGTGGCCTGTCACAAAGAATGAGTTTCAGGCTACTACTGGGCTCTTTGCTCAAACTACCATATACATAATACCTTTTGCTATGATTGACAGCTTTGGAAGAGATCCAGGAATATGCAAGGAGTATCGCACCTCAGTCCTGACCAGCGTTAGCAGAGCACTATAGTATAGACAAATATTATATCACCCCACTTTGCTTGCCTTTGCCAGATCTATCATTATCTTACTTTTTACCCATTTTAGTTTTAGTCTGCATTCATTATAACAGTCCCCAGAATGGAAAATTATTGAGAAATGCTCATTTAAAAGCAAGCACTTAATGGAAGTGGATACTCAAACAATTTCTAACTGTCCCTGACTCTGTAAGCTACATATCTTCCTTACCTCAAACTCTACCTTTTCCTACAGTCCCTCAAATAATGGTCCTCTTAATTCCCTTCAGAAAAAAAAAAATGTTTTTGAATGTTTTTAGCCAGTAGATAACAGGGTGAATATGACATCACTGAAATAGTGCCATATACCCTTTTTCTGCATTTCCTCCTTAGTCCCTTTGTTGTCCATGCAGGATGATTTCCCCCAACCAAGGATTTAGTTTTTTTGTTATCATTTTTGAATGTTGAGTTTTTAGGCCAGGAAGTATAGCCAGATTTTCAAAAGTAACATGTATGTGTGTCTAACATGAAGCAATTTAGGGAAGCCTGATGCTTAGAAGGTAGAGCGTATGATCATGGGCAAGTAGGCTGGAAAAGACTTCACAAGATCATCTTCCCATGCTCAGGACACTCAGGACATCCTGTAAATTAAATTCCTGTAATATGGATCTAGTTGGAAACCCCAGAAGTTAAACATCTGAAAATCACTAGTCCTTTTTTCCAAAAATGTGGCCCAAAATGTTGGCTTTCAAAAGCATGAGCATGCCTCATGGAACTATTAGTAACTTTTCTATGCTATTATTACTCTTAAACAGAAACATCACAAGGCATGAAAATAAAAAATATTATTTCACTTATAACTTAGCTTATTTCTATATTATCTGTGAATTAATCTAGTTCATGTAACATTCTTTTTTCTTCAGACTATCAGCTTGCCTGGCATTGGCAGAAGACAATAAAGTAACTTTAAAATATTCTTCCATTAATACCGGTGATGCAGGGGGAAAAATGTCTACATCTCATTTTAAAATTATGTGGTTGCTGCAATAACCCATAACTTAGTGTTATATTTTATGTTAAAATTAAATACATTTGGAATGTATCTGACCTTCCCTCATCTTAACAATACTCCCAAATACTTTCCTGTTCACTTCAGAGTAACTCAGAAATCCTCTTTAGAAACCAAGCCTTTTTTTCCCTTTGACTGCATATACTGATCTGCTGAACCGTGAACATTCTGCCCATCAAATTACAGTGTTGTCTAATAAAGGGTTTAACTTTCTGCTCATCTGGCACTGCTTTTCAGCTACTGCTTTAAACCTCTGCATTTGCATTCTGCTAACACTGATGCCATTACAGCAGCAAATAAATTAAGCTGATTTACTCCTTCTGAATTATGTTATGTTTATTGATGCTTGTATAATTTAATTTCACACAAATTCCATTAAAGATTATGCCCTCTATCACAAAATGCTTCCAGTGGGGAAATATAATCAGGTTATAATAGATTTGTGTGTTGCATTACAGTGGACCTACTAGACTATTGTCATCTTAATAATAAAACAGGACACAAACAAGGGATAAAATCAATGTCACATAAGAACCACTGTCTAACTAACTGGTAGCTTCTATTATACTAGATTGAATAAAAAAATCACCATATTTTGGGATTGAAATGATCTGTAATAATTATTTTGCATAAAAGAGCTCCTTTATTTTTCTGATTTTAATGGCAGTTAGCAATATACCATATAATTAAAACATTATTTAAACATTAAGTAACAATATGCAAAATTGACAAAAAGAAAGATGCTCTAGAAAAATGGGAAAGTTGCATTCAATTCCATTATATAACAACTACAAACTGGATTTGGATAACTTTTCTCTATACTTAGAAAAATAGCTTCTCATACAATCTTTTAAAAAAAAATTCTGTGTTTAATGCCTTACACTTAAAAATAAATATGGAAATATGGTGGTCTGTCATTTAATAGCAAATATTAAAAAACTCTCTCAAAAGAAAATGCCTAAGCTTCTATTTTAGGTAAAGGAAACAGTTATGCAGCACACAGATCTTTTTACTGGAAACACATTCTTCTCAAAGTGAAATTATTGTTTAGTTTAAGATGGTAGTTTAGATACTACACCCAAATCAGTTAAAACAAGAAACCATAATTTTGTTGCTGTTAATTTGGATATCTAGACAATCCAGATCTAATAATTCTTTTTGTATAAGGTACCTTATAGCTCTCAAGTTGGAAATGACTTTTAGTCACTATGACTCTAGGCTGAATTTGGACTTCTATTTTTGAGGAACAAAAAAAATCCATATTTTTTCCCAAGATACATGATTCCAAACAGAGCTATTAAGCAATGACAATAATCAATAAGAATTTTCAAAAATCCATCTTAGCTTTAGAAAACGGACAGTAAGGGTATGTGCAAGAGTTCAGATGAACCAGCAGAAGTTTAACAGGTTAGTTTAAGCAGTTGGAAACCCAACCAACAGAACACTTTACACATTCTCAAGGGGTCGGCTGGGTGCTCTGCCAACATCCTGCACTGCTGATGGTACCCAACCAGATGCCTATCCCAGCATGCTTTTCAGGCTCCCAAGTCTTCCTGGAGACAGTTGACAGCACCTGAGGACAGGTCAAGGCAGACTGGCTGGCCACTCCAAGGGACCATGCCACCCTCCTCACAACAACTTTTCCCTTCCTCTCAGCTGTCAGGATGTTAGACAGAAGACCCAGAGAGGGTAATATTTTGAAATTATCCAACCAAAGGGAAAAAAAACACAATATGTACTTTAAGAAATCCATTACATTGCCAATATCAAAATATGATTGCAAACAGTTCACTTCTGTGCTCACATAAACCATATGGCTCAATTTTGATTAGTGATCCAATACAAATAAAAATTAAAGTATTTTTGTGGGTAACTGATAAGTCACAAATAAACAGGCTAGACTTGTTGAATAAATTATTTACTGTGAGGTCCAGATCTTGGCAAGCAGAAGTACCTGAATATATCTTAACTGGATGCAATGATGTTAATAATGTATACTATTTTACATTAGATTTAGACTAGAATCTGAGTTTGAATTTGATGGTTCAGAAAATCTCATAGGTGCTTCATCCAAAAGTGAAGTGGTAAATAAGTGCAGCTGTGTGTCAGTGATTTTTCAATAAAATGATCCCGTTTGAAATCATTTCAAAACAAAACAATAGAAATTTTCTCACAAAAATTAAATCCTAAAATAAGGTTATTTTGAAGAAAATAAAATATTATATCTGAAATGAAACATTTTGGCTAAGATCTGGGGGATTTGTCAAATATTTGTTTTGAAATAAAACATTGAAGTGTTTCATCTTAAAAACATTCGATTCATTTACGTTTTTCCTTTCTCCCCCACCTTTTGTTGAAGTCCTGGGAGGGGAAGCTTTTCTCTGTGCAGCATTCGGGAGCCAGAACCTGCAACCCCCAAGCATGGGGCTGTGGGTGCAGGGCTCTCAAGTCCTGGAGTGGGGAGCTTCTCCCTCCCACAGGCACTTCAAAGCCTGTGTCTGCAGCCCTGTATGTGTCCAGCAGAGGAGAAGCTCCCTCCTGCTCCACACTTAAAAGGTAGTGTCTGCAGCTCCATATGGGGTTGCAGGCACAGAGATCTGAAATGTCATGTAGGGTAGTCCCTGGTATGGGGAACATTACCCCCTGCTCCCCTCACCTCCCAGACTGATCCCAGGGAGGACTGGAGCAGCAGGGCAAAGCCACCTGTCTACTTGTCACACTAGTGACCCTGGTCTGGGGAGTGGGCAGTGATGGCTTCCCAATCGCAGTTCCTAAACCCTGGGCTTTAAATGCCACCCGTACTGACCAGCTGGGCAGTGGGGGCAGCATTAAAAACCCAGAGGCTGGTCAGTGGGGTTGTCAAGCTGCACAGCCCTAGGGCTGTGGAGAGGGGCTGGGCCTTCTCAACACAAAGCTGACATGGGGAGAGGTTTGCTCTGTGACTTGACTGGAGCAGTAGAGGCCACCTGAGTTGCAAACCGTCTCTCTGGAGCAGGAGGGACTGCCAGAGCAATGCACAATGGGATGCCAGAAGACAACACGCAAGCTTCTATCAGTACGGCAAGTGTACCAGCATTCATTCCTCTGGCAGAAACTTTATAGAAGGCAAGACAACTTCTACCTTGTTGGAGGTGTCTGAAGTTTATATTGAACTTGCCATTTCAGTTTGGTAGGAACTGCTTGAATGCTTGTATACTTAGGGTTTCTACTGGTGGAACTACAATTCCTGCAGTAGAAATGTAATGTTTATATGCACCCAAAAGAAGCAGATTTATTGATCAGGGCATGCAGAAGAATGAAGACATACACAAGGATTTAAGGCTTCCAGCCACAACTTCAATAACTTACATTTTACATAATGTCTGCTCGCTCCCCTCTCCTCTACAAGCTACCAGGAATTAAACTGGGTCCAAAACAGAGTTAAATGAACCCAAGCTAAAGGAGTTACCATGGGTCTAAACACCTGATGCACAGTTCAGGATTTATCCTACTACTCAATCCCATCACTTTCCTGCTGTAAAAGGTAATGACGTTATAAAGGAGAGCAGCATGCATATCCAAATGGTCCCAAACAACAATATATCCCTATTGCTGAAAATGCATAGTTCTAAATAAAATGTTAGTTGCAAGTAGGCCTCCAGTTATGTCCCTTTAAAAAGAACTTTCATGACATCCCACAGTTTTAGATCTAAATGGCATGACAGTGACTCAGTACTAATAAAACATGTCACCCTTAAGTAAAGTAAGTTATAAAATTAAATACCTGTGAGTAAGAACTTATAATATGACTCTGAATTTCATCCATTGTATCTGTCCCATAAGAGACAGTACCTAGGTGGAGGCGCTTAAATATCATCTCATTCTGGGTCAGCGTTCCTGTAATAAAAATATCAGTCAGGTAATAAAAGACAAAGTATGTTTAAGAGTTTGTTTTTCTTAAATATTCTGTTCCTTTGGCAGGAGGTAACAATTTATTAAGGCGTGCTCAATGCCTTCTGAGTCCTGACAATTTACACCATTTTGTTGCTTTACAAATTCTAGTAAGCCACTGACAGGTACCGTACTTGCTGACAGGTGTACAGCAACAGATTCCACTGAAGACCAACACTTTTAAGCAGCCCAAAGTATTGCTGTTAAGTAAATGAGCTCAGGGTCAGAGCAAGCTGTCAGCTCCTACTCCCAGTTATATGCACTGACAGCAAAAGACTAACAGTAGAACTAGAACTGATCAAATCCAGGTGTGTCACAGAGCATCTAGAGCTCCATAAAAAGGCCAAAGAACAAGGCAAAAGAGTTCTATTCTGGGGATTGAATAAATCATCACAAATTACAATCGTTCAGTTCATTTAAGGAAGGTTAATGTAGAGCGATCAGGGTTACTCACCCTGGAGGAGTTACTGTTTCCCACCTTGAAATTGGTTCTAGTAACAGCTAGATATTTGTCCCTGTTGGACTGATAAAAATTGTCTAGACCTGCCTTTGGCAGTAACATTCTTACCCAAAAAGTGAAGCACAAGTAGTCTTCAATATAATTCTGAAAGAAGTGTGTGTGTGGGAGGGGAGTAATACACCGAAGGGAGAGAAATTCCCCTTAGGTTAGTGACTCTGCTTAAATAAAGCTACAGCTAGGAAATTAACATGGTATTAATCCATACTTAGTCTTCACTACTTGTTTTACTTCTTTCTCCATATAGCAGTGTAGATTTATCAATGTGGCTGCATGTTAATTTTGCTGATGACTTGTCTTGGGTTTAGCCTGCTGTAAAGCAGAGGGCAAACGGGACCAATTTATTGTCAATATGTAAAAAAAGACCACTGAAGGGATTGCTAATTTTGTGTATCATTTTTACAAGGGTTGCAAGGCAGTACTTGTAATCAACTGTAATATTAAAAGAATTGTGGTATAGTTGTATAAAGAGAAGCACATACATGACTTTTGTATAAGACTTGAAAAGTGTTCTAAAATAAAGGATGGATATAATGTTATGGGGAAAGTTTAATCACTTTCCACTGACCCAGAGATGTGGCCAGGAGACATCTGCCTATGCCAAGGTGAGACAAAACAGTGGTAAGACAAAACAGCCTAGGAACTGGGAAGGATGCTGTTTTTTGTGAAAGCCATCAAGCTGTGGAACTCCCAAACAGAACTCAGGGTAAGTTCATTTATTACGTCTTGAAATGTCCAATGACAAAGGTCTACCTCTTTTGCTCAGGCTTTCCACCTACAGAGGCAGCATTAAACTAATTGGTGATTTTTTCCCATCACATAGATAGTGTACTACTTTTAGAAAGAGACTCAATATATTAAACTTCACCAACAGGAAAAGGAGAGAACATTAACCTATCAGACAAATGCACAAACCAAGGAAAGCTTAATTTGGCATTCAGATATGTTGACTGAAATGCATGTACACATATGAAGACTACCACAGAGAGGGATGCATTAGAAGTTGCATCAGAGCAACTGTTGTACTCAACTGACTTACTAGTGTACGTACCCTACTAGTAGCAACATACTGCGGCTACACTTAAAAGGACCACATTGTTAAGGGCTTTATTATACATCATGCACATAGGAGTAAAAATAAGGTAGACTGATACATTATTGTCCTGTCTGGGCAAATTTCTATGCACATATGCAAAAAGTAAGCTCCTTAAAACACTATCCCTTATTATTAGCACCTTGGATTTGTATTTTAAAGAGAAAGGGTTTACTCCAAATTTTGGAGTATGCTTAAAGGTCAGTTATTTAAATAATATATTTTCCATGAAAATATAAGCCATAAAAAGAAGTATTTTTGTTAAAAATATGTAAGTATAAAAAGTATAAGTATATACTTATGTATAAATATACATAAAGAAGAAAACTGTCAACTACGGCTCTTTATGTACAGTCTCTAACATTATTCCACAGGATATATGAAGAAAAACTTTCTGGTAAACAGACAGATTCAAAGTAATCTAAAACAGGTCACTGGAAATGAACATCACTTCCGAATTTGACAAATTTAGCCTCTAACCGGAATACGCCTGGAATTTTAGAATTAACATAAATAGTGTTTTCAGAGACTACTTTACATCTGTAAGAAACTACAGGGTGTCAGTCACGGAGTGACACTTTATGTTCACAACTGTCTACAGTGACATCCTTGATTTTAAGAAAGTACTAATTGAAGGGTGGGTGGGACAGGGTTCCATGACTAGGCGTAACAAGGGATAGAGGTCATCCGTAGCTAGGTTCCTCTGTTACACTCATAGAAACAAGATCACATACTATTCGTTTTCAAGTATACTTAAGGGTGAATAAATATATTTTGAAAAATATAGATTGGAATGAATCTAGCATGAAGGTAATCCCATTATATACTACTATGCATCTTGTGGGCTTTTAAACAAGGATTGGACTTTGGTAATGTTCTTGCGATAAAAAGAGATTAATGTAATGGAGTAGCACGAGTAACCTTCTTGATTTTTTAATACTTATTTTAAAAACATTTTTGGGTAGGATAACGGGACAACAAATAATTTTAAAGTGTAGTATGGAATACTTTACACAAAGCTTTATTCTTCTCTTATATTTGATATCATGTCTCAGTCCCAGTATGACAGTAAAACACAGCAAGTCATAGGAAGAGAACAAGTTAAAAGCATCAGATACACTACAATTAGTGTTTAGAAACTAGAAATTGTTTAGACAGTTAACATCCAGTTTATGCATCTGATAGAGGGTACATCCATTAGTGCTGTTCAGTGATATAACCATGCTGTCACAGTCATAAATCTTTCTTCCCAGTTACACATTACATATCTGCTACTCCTACTTCCTGGTAATATATGTACAATGAAATTTCATCCCCACTCTTGTTGAGTTATAGCGCTGTAATAGTTAGCTCATCATTCACAGTAACCATTCTAAGGAACTGTATCTTTTTTCCTCAATGTTCAACAGAGAGGCACTTTTCTTTTGCTTAAAAATTATCCCAGACCCTTGTATTCATGCAGTAACATTTTAAAAAGAAAGAAGTTTTTGAAAGACTTATTGGTGAATTATTTACAAAATGTTGGCAAAATTAGGAAAAATTCAAGTGCAAAACAGCATTTCCAAGTGTGGTTGAAAAGTAGCCCACAAGGAATGAAGCGTTGCGCTACTCATCTCTAGATTTCATCTCAGTCTTCATTATCTGGTTATTATGTACAAGCTGGTTTCACTTTTGATACTTGGTGAACATTTACTGCATGAAATAAAAGTACTTATGCAAAGTTTCCCCTTTAAAATGTACACTTTTTACCAATAACTTTTTGGGATAGTTGTTTATCAAACTCTAGAATTTAAACAAAAATGTTATATTTCCAGACATGAAAAACAGCTTGCATGCATCCAGTGAGCATGCAAGACCAACATCACTTTCTAAAGAATCTGAATTTTCACTTCAAACAGCTAAATGTTTATAAAGATGAACTTCCAAGTGAGAAATAATGTGCTTATCTTCCTGAATCAACAGAAAATGCAAGCATCTTCCTTCTGACTACAGATTTGCCCAGGCTTGGAATGTAATTAACAATTCACTGGGGTCAGTTTTAGGACCACTAGAGTACTCAGAGCCCTGTAGACCATAGTTAAGAATCAAGCCAGTTTGACAATTACCTCAGGAAAAAAAGGAAAGGTGTGGGGACAAGGCAGATTTCTTTTTTTTTCTCGGTAGGCAGAAGGCTTGGTATATAGATCAGGGTTGATCTTTCCTACCTTGTAGCAATCAGCAAACTTGAGGAGAAGCAAGAAGGTAGAATGAAAAGAAACATGTGAAGTACCAGCTGTCCTTATTCAGTACTTGCACCTCTCATACTACTCTCAGAAGTGGGCTGCTATCTCTTCCTTCTCTTGGTCAGAATAGGAAAATTAATTGGCACCTTGCTTTGAGGTATCATAGAGCAGTGGTTTTCAATCTTTTTTCATTTGCAGACCCCTAAGAAATTTCAAAAGGAGGTGCAGATGCCTTTGGAAATTTTGAATGGAGGTACAGACCCCTTTGAATTGTAAGTGTGGGTATTCACATACTTTTGACTGATCATAGTCATCTTTCGTGGACCCTTTAGACATAGTTTCTAGGGACAGACATTACACATAAACCGGTTTAAATGATCAAAAACAGGTTTAAACCTGTAACAGAGCAGACATCTAGTGCACATAAACCAGTTTGAAAATGGCCGAAACTGGTTTCAGATAAACCTGGTTGAATGTAGTATCAGACTTAACTGATTTGACTCGAACCAATTTATGGCATGTAACTTTAAACCAGCCCAGACCCCTTACTGGTTTAAAGTTAAACCAGACTCCCCCAGCATCCCCGTATGCTCTCTGGGCTGGGCAGAGATCTGCTCCAGTGATTTGGGCTGGTACCTCCCCTCTGCTATCTAGCCAGAGCAGAGGCAGGGTGTGGCCAGAAGCTGGCCTGTCATGGCCCCTGAGGCAAATTCCTCCATCTGTCCCCTGCGCCCCCCCCCCCCCCCCCCACACCCCGGGGGCGCACCCCACCGGGGGCTTCCATGGCCTGCCTACAGCCAGGCAGGGACAGAGTTAATTTCTTTCTCTGTTTCCTCTCTCCCCCGGAATGCTTGGGGGTTTGGCTGCAGTCTCTGTGGCTTGCCTGCAGCCAGGCAGGGAGGGGATTAATTCCACAGAGTGTCTGGAGCAAGGGAGGGGGGCAGGGGGAAGGGAGGGGAGAGGCATGCTAGTCCCCTGTGTGCAGATCCAAGCCTTACACCTGTGAGCCCAGAGCTAAAGACCTGCAAGACCAGATTGAAAGGTGGTATGTGTTGGCAAAGACCTGACAATCATCACACATGCTGGAGATGTAGTTTAGGGAAGTTGCAAACAG